AAAAAGCAAAGCTGTGTGGCGTTAAGCAGCACCGAGGCCGAATATATGGCCTTAGCAAATGGAACGAAAGAGGCTATGTACTTGCGACGTCTCTTAAGTGAAATCGGATTTGGTATTGATGAAGGGCCGACAAAGATGTTTGGTGACAATTTAACTGCACAGCAACTTGTAAAGAATCCCGTCTATCACTCCAGAACCAAGCACATCGATATCAAATATCATTTTGTACGAGACGTAGTAAAGGCTGGTCAAATCGAGCTGCAATATGTCGAAACTCAGAAGATGGTAGCGGATGTATTTACTAAAAATTTAATAAAAAAGAAACACTGCGAACTTATTAAAAAATTAGGTATTTCCTAAAAATGTGAAACACACATTTGGTTTGAGAGAGGGTGTTGAAAATCATACTTGCCCTTCGAAAGACAAACCAAATGTATGTCAACATACTAATAGTTGTATGTACTTTTTAAAACAACCCTGTATTATTATCTACTTGTTCTTATTTGTATTCTCTTTCATACTTTGACGCTTGAAAATATACTTTCCTTTCTTTTTTGGAACTTCAAACCAATAACCTTAGCATGAGGTGTGCTTTCAGAATAAACTAACTTTTAAAGATAAAATATTCTGCGATCTTGAGCGTAATTTTTATTTCAAAAACACCTTAATTGAAGGCATATTTGGAAAATACGTCGAAACGAACTAAATCTTTCTATAACTGCTATTCCTTATAAAATTACATATACCTGCAAAATGCTTAAAAAAATTTGTCTCTAGAAGTGTGTAAAAACCCTGATTTTTAGTCGGAATAATTCGAGAGTGGTATCAAAGCAACTTTTTTTTCGACAAATGTTCTGATAGTTGCTCTTACTTAATTGGAGCCTTCTAAATTCAATGGTTTCCTCAGTTTGCTTAAATTTTAACTATTTTATAAAAAAGTCCCTGAGTTTTAAAAAGATATTTTACTAAAATTTTGCACATAACCGTTTTTTAATATTACCTTAAATCATCGAAATCGGTTCACTAAAACACCTAGCTCCCATACAACTGATTGATCAGAGACGGTGTTTTGCGTTATAACTCCTCCAATTAAACAGGTTAAAATTTAGTATAGGTTCAATTTAACATATAGCACGCATACAATTTATTATTCAGATATAAAGTTAGAGTTATAGCGCAAAAACACATATCTGAGTAATCAGTTGTATTGGACCTATATGTTAATGTGAACCCATTTCAATAAGTTTAATAAATAATTAAGGTAATATTAAAAAACTGTTATGTGCAAAATTTTAGTAAAATTACTTCAAAACTGAGGGAGTTATTTATAAAATAGTTAAAATTTAATCAAGTTTTCAAGTACCGTTAGCTCGAAAACCGGAGCCAATTTGGTAAAACCGAGCATGCCATTGAATTTAGAACGTCCCAATTAAGTGAGGTAAACTTTCAAAATCGTTTCTCAAAGTTTACAACTTGAACAGCGTAATTTGAACCCAGCTAATTCTTTTGTTTTCTATTTCATGCTTATTCCTCGTCTAACTTTTGAAGCACTTGATGAATATGATACATTTCATCGAATTTATAAGTCCACACATCATCTTAAGCAATAAAAAATTTTAATCAGTTACGGATTTTTTGCCTTTCAGCTACTATATGAGTTAGGGCCTTTCTATATTAAGGTAACGAAATGGATGTATAGAATGACAACAACCACGCTGTCGAGTTTAAATAGCGGCAAATCAGCTGCACTTGATAGTAGTTGGTTGAATAAGGAAAATGAATTAGCAACAAGAGTTTACGGGATGTACATAGCGCAGTGGTTAACGCTTCTGACTTTGAACATCGAATTCGCAGGTTTGATCCCTGCTGAAGTCTAGAAAAAAGAAGTCTGATGAGGAGATGTGGTGATCTCCGAAATAGTGCTATAACTTCTACCGCTTAGACTTTGTTGCTTTTTCAATTTTTCCTAATAAACAATCGTGGTACAAAGCTCAATGTTAATATCTCTTGTTTGGTTCAGTATGGTGGATTTGAACCGATATACTGATATGGACTCCAGCGGCAATGGAAACCATAAGGTACTTATAGATATTCTGTGCAAGCAAACAAAGGGCCTTAATGTGGTTCATTTTAATGCGCGTAGTTTGAATGCAGATAAACTTGATTATGTTAGGAGTATATTTGTTGAGTCTGATGTTGATGTAATTTGTGTCACTGAGACTTGGTTCAGTACTGATGCTTCGGACTTCTTCTATGAAATAGCTAATTATAATTTGGTAAGGAATGATAGAAAATTTAAAAGAGGGGGAGGGATCGCGATATACTGTCGATCCAACCTAAAAATCAAGTCTTTGGCAGAGTCGGCTAACTCTGAAACAGAGTTTTTAATATCAGAAGTTTCTGATAGTGTAAGTAAGGTATTGGTCTCTTGTGTGTATAACCCCCATAAGTCGTGCGTATTGGATTTGTTTTTTGGTGAGTTATCTGTGTTCTTACTTGATTATGAGTGATATGTAATTTGTGGTGATTTCAATGTTAATTTGCTTGTTAATGACTCTTATACCAATAAACTACTGGACAATGTTTGGGCAGGAGGACTTCTTATAGTCAATAATTCTGTTCCTGCCAGATATGCTAACAATGCAAAGCCTAGTCTCTTAGATGTCTTTATTACGTCTGACCTTAAACATGTCTTCAAATTTGACCAACTATTTTTTATATCTGACCACGACTTAATATTTTGTTCACTAGATGTAGCTTTTAATCGTCCTGTTGTTGATGTCACTTTTACGTATCGAGATTTTAAGTCCTTAAATGTTGATGAACTTTTGCGTTATCTGTCTAGTGTTTGTTGGGAAGATTGTTGGTATTGCGAAACCATTGATAAAAAACTTGAATTCTTAAATAGAACTCTAACTGTACTTTTTGACAATCATGTCCCCATTCGATCAGTTCGTGCAATCAATCAGTCGTGCCCTTGGTATACAAAAACAGTTTGCTTGGCAATAAAGAAGCGTAATAAACTGCATGCTAAGTGGAGGAAAACTCCAACCAAAAGCCGTTGGTCTCAATACAAAACTGCACGGAATGCAGCTACGGCTACCATTAGGCAGGCCAAGAGCTGGTATTGTAGGAATAAACTTGACGCAGCACTTCCCTCCAGAGACTTATGGCGCAACCTTAAAAACTTGAATGTTCATGGTAATGATAAACCTAAGTGTGATTTGGACCCTGATGTTCTGAATAATTTTTTTACTAGTGCAAGCAGATGCATGAGTTTCTCTTCAACTGAATGTAATCTGACTGACTGTGATTTGGTAAATAAATTTCAGTTTGTAGGTGTGAGTGAAGGAGAGGTTTTGCGGGCTGTAAGGGGGATAAAGTCAAATGCGGTGGGGGAAGATGGAATTTCGCTTAAGTTTATGAAAATTGTGCTGCCATCTATATTGGGTACTATCACTCATATTATAAA